AAAGCAAAATGGAAAACATAGGAATAGAGGTCAGAGTAACAGGTTAAGACAGAAATGTATAGATCACTATAAGTTAATTGTATTAAATTAATGAAAACAGATAAGGCCATCTAAAGAAGAAGCACAGTTGAAAAGAGAAAGAGATTCAAAGATGAAAGCACTCCAACATTTAGCCACTGGTAAAGAAACCCAATGAGAAAACAAGGGAATGATATTCAAAAAACCTAGTAAAGAAAGGGTTTCCAAAAAAGAGAAACTTTGTTCACTTAAGATTTGGGGAATGTCATTTTCTTATTGTGTCAAGACATTTATATTCTACATTTAGAAAGATATATGAAGGCTATGTTAACCAGTTGGATGAAAGTATTTCAAATTGTATACAGAAACAGCACACTGTACCCCATGATAGTATTAATGTACACAGCTACGATTTAATTAAAAAAAAAAAGTGAGCACGGGATCATGATGACCCCCTTTAAAAAAAAAAATTTAAGGCTCGGCACCTGTGGCTCAAGCGGCTAAGGCGCCAGCCACATACACCTAAGGTGGCGGGTTCGAATCCCCAGCCCAGGCCCGCCAAACAACAATAATGGCTGCAACCAAAAAAAAATGGCCGGGCATTGTGGCAGGCGCCTGTAGTCCCAGCTACTTGGGAGGCTGAGGCAGGAGACTCACTTGAGCCCAGGAGTTGGAGGTTGCTGTCAGCTGTGATGCCATAGCACTCTACCCAGGGGGATAGCTTGAGGCTCCGTCTCAAAAAAAAAAAAAAAAAAAAAAAAAAAAAAAAAAAAAAAAAAAAAAAAGGTTTGGGGAATGACTCCTAACTACAGATATGAAGCCTGAAAACTGACCAATCTACTTAGGAACATGGAGGTCAATGTACCCTGTAAGAAGCAGTGTGTGTGTTTAACAAATAAGTAGGGACAAATAAGGACTGCTAGTTTGAGAAATTTGGACAGGTACCTAGAGGAGGATGGGTAGTCAGGATGAAAAGATTTTAATGACTAGGTGAGAAAGGTTAGAATACCGTGTAGAAGTGTAGACAAAAAGCAAGAAAGGAGACAGTCAGGTCTGGTCACGGGAAGGACTGGGGAAGTTTCTTTCTGAGTACTCTTAGTTCCTCTGAGGGCTTCTGAGTGATGTCCCAGGACTTTAAATTGCTGTTTCCCTATATATAATGTGGCATTTTCCTAAAGGTACCTTCAAGTGTTCCTCTTGATCTTATAATTTTCAAATGCTGGACTATGACATACATAGGAATATTCTCTGGCTTGGTGTTCTTGGAGATCATGAATATGCAAATTTATGTATGTCATACAATTTGAGAAACTTTTTGAAATTATTTCTTGAGCTTTGCTTTCACCTGTATCTGTCTTCTTCTTAAACCTTCTAGTACTGTCCAATAAAACAATGATGCTCTGATAGTTGTTTCCTAAATTTTTAATCTCTGCTATTCAAACTGTGTAATTTCTATTATTAATCTGCCCTGAAGATCTTTATATCTTTGTTAAGATTTTCATTCAGTACAATCATAAAAGTATGCTTAGTGTTCCCAATTCTTAATAACTGTTTAGCCATCAAGGAGATTAGTCCTTTCATTTGTTTACTGAGTCAATTCAAAAAAATTTTTTTATTAAATCATAGATGTGTACATTAAAATATTTTTGTTATAGGTGATTTAAACTAACTTTCTTTTTGGATACAGAGTCTCACTCAGCCCTGGCTAGAGTACAGTAGTATCATCATAGCTCACTACAACTTCAAACTACTGGGCTCAAGTGATCCTCCTGCCTCAGTCTCCAGAGTAGCTGAAACTATAGGAGCACACTACCCTGACCAGTTTTTTATTTTTCTGTAAAGTCAGCATCTCACTATTGCTCAGGCTGGTCTCCAAATCCTGACCTGAAGCAATCCTCCCTCTTTGGCCTCCCAGAGTGGTAGGATTACAGGTGTGAGCCACTGCGCCCAGCCTAGTTACATTCATCAGTATGTTGGTAAGTTTGGTCTGAGTTCCCCTTCATGACACAGAATGTTTTTTGGCTTTTACATGGGAGAAGATTTCTTTCCCTCTTGGGAATTGGCGGGATCATCTATTGTCATCCCATCTACACCGGTTTCCCCTTTCTTTTCTCCTCACATTTTTAAATCAGATTATGCCTACTATGTCACACTATATGATATCTACAACATTATACTCACCTTCTTAGATCTATACCTAATCCAAATAAGAAAGCAAAGACAAAGACTTGTTGCCTTTTATGACCTGGTCTCCCAAGTTGCTCACCATTTCTACTTTATTCTAGTCATCACAAGTTTATCATTAAGTCCTGCCCATACTCAAGGCTGAAGAAATTAAATCCTATCATTTGAAGGAAAATGTGTCATAGAATCTAAGAACATGTGAAACCACACAGTTGCTTTAAGTTTTATGTAAATTATTAAATTATTGACATTCCTCCAAAAAAAAAAAAAAAAAGAAAATACACACTCTCTTTCAAAATCTCCAAACCTCATCCCCTGATGAGTCTCATCATCTATATCAGAGTCCAGGTAGAAATGAGGATCAATGGGTATAATTCCTTAAACAGAGCCCCTCAAATAAACTTCCTCTCAATCTAAAGATGTGAATTAAAAAGCCAAGGTATCTGACGCCTCGCACAGCAAGTCTACAGTAGACCCCTGAGTAACAGGTGCTTCTTCAGCTGTGCAGGTCCACTTAGACATGGATTTGTCCCACTCTGCCACAAAGAGCAAGACCATTTCTTCCTGGTCCTCCTCAGCCTCCCCAACATGAAGACAATGAGGATGAAGACCTTTATGATGATGATCTACTACTGCTTAAGGAATAAAAAATCTAGTTTCTCTTCCTTATGACTTTCTTAATAACATTTTTTCTCTAGTTTACTTAACAGTAAGAATACAGCATATAATACACATAACTTAAAAATTACGAGTTGATTGATTATATTATCAAAGTTTTCCAAAAAAATAAAAAATAAAAAAGGCTTCCAAAAGAAAGCAGTTCATTAGTTAGGTTTTTTTTTTTTTTGAGACAGGAGCCTCAAGCTGTCCCCCTGGGTAGAGTGCCGTGGCATCTCAGCTCACAGCAACCTCCAACTCCTGGGCTCAAGCGAGTCTCCTGCCTCAGCCTCCCAAGTAGCTGGGACCACAGGCTCCTGCCACAACGCCCAGTTATATTTTTTTTTTTGGTTGCAGCCGTCATTGTTGTTTGGCAGGCCCAGGCTGGATTCAAACCCGCCACCTTGGGTGTACATGGCTAGAGCCTTAGCCACTTAAGCCACAGGCGCCAAGCCCATTAGTTAGGTTTTTGAAGGAGTCAAAAGTTATGTGTGGATTTTTCACTGCACTGGGGGTAGCGCCTCTAACCCCCGCATTGTTCAGAGAAGATTCAACTGCACAATGATGGGGCAGGCACAGAGTAACTGCTAAACAAGAAATGGTACATTTTAGGGGCTTAAGGTAGGGAAGTGGCAATCTTCTGAGTTTGGGGTGTTATCTTGGTTGAGTAAGGCTTACTTTATACCTTCTCTTTTTTACTTCCTTTTTATTTAGAGACACCATCCCCTTTAAATTGCCTGCCAGACCACCAGAAAGAATTCCAAGGTTACGTCTGTTCCTGTGCACTTGTCTAGACCCTGTTGACTCCTTAGTGCTTTACACTACAGAAGTCTCTGATGACTGACTCTCTGACCCTGCGCTGCTCCTACTTCTTTTCCTTCCACATCAATGAATTCCCCCCATATTCTCCTTTCTTCTACACTCTGCCAAGTCACTTCTTGCAAGAGCTCTTGAACAAGTGCTGATGGCCTCAAATTTGCATTTCAACTTGCACTATTCACTCTTGTGTAGTCAAATATGGGCTATGAATGATTTTCAATGCTCCAGTTATTGATCTGCAAGCACAATTCACTTAACTCGATTTACTTAAGTATATTGAAATGAGATAAAATATTTCATTTTCTGCTTCAGGTGTCTGCATTTTGATGAGGAGGAAAATTTATACTTTACATCCTACAGCTTCAGTTGGCTACAATGTTAAAGGAAAGTACTAAAGAAGAAGATTCCTATGGTTCCTCTCTCCTGCAATGTTCTGTGGTTAATTTGTCATTGTTACTAAAGGTAGAAGGTAGAAGTTCAGGTAGAAGTTCAACTAAGATCTGAATTTTTTCCCAACAATTTTACAAAACAAAAAAAGCCTTTTTTTTTGAGACAGAGTCTTCCTCTGTTACCCTGGGTAAAGCACCCTGGCATCATAGTTCATAGCAGCCTCAGACTTTTGGGCTCAGGCAATCCTCTTGCCTCAGCCTCCCAAGTAGCTGGGACTACAGGTGCCTGCCACAATGCCCAGCTAGTTTTCCTATTTATAGTAGAGATGGGGTCTCACTTTGCTCAGGCTGGTCTCAAACTCCCGAGCTCAGGCAATCCATCCACCTCAGCCTCCCAGAGCGCTAGGATTATACATATGAGCCACCACACCAGGTCATACAAAACAAATTTCAAAGAAAAAAATCAATCTAGTCCCTGTTATAGCTCCATTGTGAAATGGGAAGAAATAAAAAATATTTTAAAGCATTTTTTTACAGTTAAAAAACATGCTTTTCAAAAGTTTGGATAAGTCTACACAAAACTACATTTCACATCATAAACCAATAACCATATATAAGACATACATGTTATGCATATTTTAAAAAGCCATGTATTTTATATATAAAGGTTTGCTTAGATACTTTTCCATTTTGTTTTACAAATGTTGGTTATGTTCTACTACACTAAATTCAAAACTCCCTAATGGATCATGATGGGAAGTTGGAATTTATTCATTAAGAAATCATAGAGCTATTTCACCAGACAGAATTTAGGTGTTTCTGAATTTTTTTAAATAAATCTGGTAGACAATGAACTTGGTAGGATGTTCCATGCCTAGGAGAACATGTTTCTTGTTATCTTATTGCACAAGAAATACATGAAAAAGTGCTTACCTTTTGTTGCAGTGGAGATCATAAATAGGTGTCTTAAACTGAATGGACTTAACCATCTCCCCAGTACGAAGTGAATATAAATCCACACAACAGTAAGGTGGGCTTGTGCTAAAAGAAGGAAAAAAACATTATTTTACAAAAGGGGAAAGGCTATTAACCTCTACATTTTCTTATTAACATGAGATTCAAACCCTTTATTAATAGGACATTAGTAAATTGATTCAAACCTTCCCAAAAAGATGATCACAATACAACCCTTATTTTATACCAATTTATGGTAGGAATACAAAATTCAGAGAGGAAAGAAATCACTCATCAAATAAATACTATAAAAAAGACAAATAATATAATTATATCAATAAATGTAGAAAAGCATTTGATAAATTTCAGAACCCATTCATAACAAATCTTCCCTTAAGCTGATGAAGGGTACCAACTTTAAAACTAACAAAAACTAGCAAAAAATTGTAAACTGTGTCTAGATTCCAAAATAAGAAACTAGACAAGATATTATCAATACTCTATTCAACATAGCACAGAAGGACTCATGAAGAAGTCAAGAAAAGTAATTACTACAGGAAGAAATAAAGTTATCATTTATGTTGAAAACCTCACTGTATAAGTATAAAACTCAATGATAAAAATCTATAAGTAGAAATATATATAATATATGCACACATGCAAATAAACCCACAACAAAAACTATGTGGATTCACCAAGATCACTAGATACAAGGTCAATATACAAACATCACCTGTTTTGTAAATTAAGAACAAATAATTAATGACATTTGAAACAATATCATATAAAGTGGCATTAAAAATATCAAAAACATTGAATATCTTGGAATAAATCTAAGTAAGGATTTATAATCTATTTGCATGAAAGAATAAAATAGTTTTATTTATTAAAAAATTAGTAAATGAAATAAATACTATAAACTGAAAGATTTACATTGATAGTTAAAAATCTCATTAAAAAATTCTACCTCATTAAACTTCATTAAAAAATGTATATGGAAATGCAAAACATACATGGAAATGTATTCCACATGATAAGACTTATTGTAAAGGTACAGATTAATTAAGGAGCTGTATTCTTGGCACAAGAACATATCAGAAAATCGATGTTTCTACCTTAAGAAAACAACTTTTAAAAAGTTAAAACCAATGAAAGTAGAATGAAGAATAAAAATGCTGTAAGATATTAATGAAATAAAATATGTGCAATGAATTAGGGGGAAAACAGTAATACTAAAACATAGTTCTTCTTTAAGATAAAAAATAATTCTAGTCAAAGTATTTAAGAAAAATAATACAGAAGAGACAAACAATATAAGGAAGGAAATAGGCAATATTCAGATAACATAAACAAATTCCTTAAAATGGACCAGCTGCCCAAACCAATTGAAACCAAAAGATACTATGAATATAGCCCAGTATCTATAAAAGAAATTGAATGCATAACTTTTCACAAAGAAAATCCTCAAAAATTCTTTCACTTTATTAACTCTACGAATCAGACAAAAATGAATACCCATCATATACAACCTATTTCATAAGTGAGAATTGTCCTTTTAGTTATAAGGCAAGTACCACCTATCCAAAAACTAAACAAATGCCTGTAGGAAAAGAAACAACATACATACATGCTTGCATACACCCTTCTTAACAAAGTATTAACAAAACAAATCAGCAATATGAAACAAAATATTAACATTGACTGAAATATGAAACAAAATATCAACATTGACTGTGGTTAACAACAAAATGTTGATCCCAATTCCCACGGATGACTTTGAAGAGTTCAAGACTTTAGTGGAGGAAATAACTGCAGATGTGGTAGAAATAGCAAGAAATTTAGAACTAGAAGTGGAATCTGAAGACGTGACTGAATTACTGCCAACTCAGGATAAAACCTGAAGATATGAGGCGTTTCTTCTTAAGAATGAACAAGGAGGCTCGGCGCCTATAGCTCAACCGGCTAAGGCACCAGCCACGTACACCTAAGGTGACGGGTTCAAATCCCCAGCCGGGACCCGCCAAACAACGAGGGCTGCAACCAAAAAATAGCTGGGCGTTGTGGCGGGCGCCTGTGGTCCCAGCTACTTGGGAGGCGGAGGCAGGAGACTCGCTTGAGCCCAGGAGTTGGAGGTTGCTGTGAGCTGTTAATGCCACGGCACTCTACCCAGGGGGACAGCTTGATGCTCTGTCTCAAAAAAAAAAAGGAAGAATGAACAAGGAAAGAGCTTTCTCGCAATGAAATCTACTTAGGTGAAGATGCCATCAGTATTGTTGAAATGACAACAAAAGATTTAGAATATACCATAAACTTAATTGCTAAAGCAGCAGCAGAGTTTGATTGGACTGACTCCAAGTTTGAAAGATGTTCTGTGGGGGTAAAATACTATCAAACAGCATCATATGCTATAGAGAAATCTTTAAGGGAAAAAAGTGTCATTCAAGGTGGCAAACTTAATTGTTCTCTTATTATAAGAAAGTGCCACAGCTCCCCACACCTTCAGCAACCACCACCCCATCTGTCAGCACCCAACAGCATCAAGGAAAAACTCTGCATTGGCAAAAAGACTATGACTTGCTGAAGGCTCCAATTTTCATTAGCATTATTTAGCAATAAAGTATTTTTAATTAAGATTATGTACATTTTTTACAGAACATGCTATTGCATACTTAACAGACTTACAGTATAGTAAACCATAACTTTTATGTGCACCAGGAAACAAAACTTCTATTACATGCTTTATTGGCGTGGTCTGGAACTAAACCTGTAATACCTCCACAGTATCCCTATACATATACATGATTAACATGTAGGAAACTGAAAAGGCTGCAATAATCAGGATAGCATGGTATTGGTGTAAGCACAGAAATATATATATCAAGGAAACAGAATAGAGAGTCTAGAAACAAACTCACATTTGTATGGCCAGTTGATTTTCATCAAAGGTACACTATAATTAAATGATAAAGATAGTCTTTGGAACAAATGGCACTAAAAAAAACCAGATATATGTATTAGAAAAACTAAATGGTCCCCAACTTGTACACAAATATTAACTCGAAATGGATAGTATGTGTTAAAATATTATAGTCAAAACTATACAATATCTAGAACATACAAGAGAAAAATCTTTGCAAACTCTTTCCTTTTTTTTTAATTAAATCATAGCTGTGTACATTAATGCAGTCATGGGGTACAATGTGCTGGTTTTATATACAATTTGAAATATTTTTACCAAACTGGTTAACATAGCTTTCATGGCATTTTCTTAGTGCAAACTATTTCTTAAACAAGAAAAGGATGCACTAAAATAGAATAAATTAAAACCTTTAGCTTGTTTTTTTTTTTTTCTTTTTGGAAGTAGAGGCTGACTCTGTTGCCCAGGTGGGAGTATCATGGTGTGAGCCTAATTCACAGCAACTTCAGACGCCTGGGTTAAAGAGATATTCCAATATTCCTGACACAGCCCCTTGACTAGCTAGGACTATAGGTACCCACTAAGAGGCCAAGCTAATTTTTCTATTTAATAAAGACAGGGTCTCACTGTTGTTAAGGCTGGTCTCGAATTCCTGAGTTCAAGTGATCCTCCAGCCTCAGCCTCCTAGAGTGGCTAGGGTTACAGGCATGAGCCACTGCACCCGGCCTAACTTTTGCTTTTTAACAGCCAGAAATTGGAAAATGTAAAACCAAGGCCCATATTGTAAGTAAATGTAGATATTTTCAAAACACATATCTGACAAAAGGTTTGTGTCTAAAATTTAGAAATTATTATAACTCAATAGCAATCGTGCCTGCAATACATAAAAAGTGGCTATAATATTATAAAAAAAGATACCTGGCCAAAGATAGATAGAAACTAAGCACATGAAGAGATGTTCAGCATAACTAATTACCAGGGAATTGCAAACTGAAATCACCAACAGACACCACTACATCCACTAGAATGGCAAAAACTTTATAAACTGGTAACACAAAGTGGTGGCAAGAATGCAAAGTAATTGAACCTCTCACACATTATTATTATGAATGCAAAATGTCACAGTGACTTAGAGAAATAGTTTAGCAGTTTCTCAAAACATTGAATATAAGTCTCCTGCATGTCACAATCAGATACTTTATCATTCATAATTTTCAAAACCTAGAAACAATTAAATCCCTATCAATGAGTGAATTAATAGTGATATATTAATGCAATGAATAGTATTCAATAATTAAAAAGAACAAATTATCTATAAACAACAGAGATGAATCTTAAAACCATGAGAGGGAGGCACACATAAACTTTACATATTATATGCCCTCTTCTACAAAAAGCTTAAAAAATGGCTATAATAATAGGAAGCGGATTAGTAGTTGCCAGGAGAAAAGTTCAGAGGGAAGGTATAGAGTGTCACGTGGCATGAAAAACCTTTAGTGTGATGGAAATGTATCACTATTGTGGTGGTAGTAACACAACTGTATACAACTGGAATAGCTAGAGGTAGGGAGAATCTTGTAAAAGCCGGAACTTCAATCCCTAAAACTGACACAAGGCAAAAACTCCTAAGTGTCCCTACAAATTAATCCACACTCCTCTGCTGTTAAGGAATGAGTTTAATAATGAATAAAATCTAACATCTTGCCCAACCAACTAGGAGGGAAAGAGCAGCTTGTCACCTTCAATTAGGAGCTCATTATGGCTATAACACATTAGGTACTGGAATTCTTATCACTTCGCTGGCATCGTCCAGACAATGTCACGACTGAGAGTCTTCCTGTAAAAAGCCATCATTAGAAACAGACAAAACAAATGCTATGAAGGCTCAGTTTACAGCTAACTGCACAAGATTTGTCCGAACCAAGAACTCTATTTATAAATGGGGAAAAGTCTCCCATTCAGTGACTAATAGGGAAAGATAATTCTTTAAAATAAGTCTTCACAAATTCACACATCCACAAAGGAGTCAGCATGCTTCCTGCCAATAACACAGTTGTGTGCATGCCCGACATGTCCTTTTGTTCTCTGTTTTCTCTTTTGAAAAGCCTTGACCATTTCCATAGAGCACAGCAAGACAATCTTAATTTTCCTCATGGGCAGGCTAATGAGA